CCTAAATATTACATGGTATGGGGAAGAACGAATGTTTTGTTTCTCAAGGACGTGTATCCTTTTAGACCTATTCAAATTTTCCATTCTGACTCCCCCTCCACCTTAACGCTTGCCCCGTTTACCCTTTTCCACAGTATTTCTTCTTTCAATAAAAAGGTTCCAGGAAATGCCTATTTTACTAGCCACCTGCATGGGAGAGGGGGGAGGGGACTCAGTTGCGGTCTTTTGAAAACAAATCTCCCTCTTTTTCCTACATTCCAAGGGAGGAGCGTCACTAACGGTCACTCAATGGTCTTGGTAGATCTTTACTTCCCCTTTCTGGTGATTTATGGGTTCGATGCATAAATCAGAGGTTCAGTGCAAGCTAGAAAAAGAGAAAATGTGTCAAAAGACTTTTTTTTTAAGGAAAGGGGAAGATGGAGAGATGTTTGTCTATTTTGATTGTTAAAAAGTGTCTGGGAAATCGACCCTTCCGGGAAAGGGACGTCCGGATATGGGACGTAACACTGTATAGCAAAAGTGGCACTAGACCTAGTATATATTTCGGACATTTACCAAAGGTCTAGTCATACTAGGTCTGGTTAAAAACCATTTCCCGGAATACATTTGCCCGATATATCCTACACAGATGTTTTTTTAAGGTCAAGTGCCATTGCCCGGTATACATTTGCCTGGTATATCCTACACTGATGTTTTTTAAGGTCAAGTGCCATTGCCCAGTATACATTTGCCCGGTATACCCTACACTGATGTTTTTTTAAGGTTCAGTGCCACTGCCCGGTATACCCTACACTGATGCTTTTTTAAGGTCAAGTGCCACTAGCCAGTATGCATTTGCCCGGTATACCCTACACTGATGTTTTTTCAAAGTCAAGTGCCATTGCCCGGTATATATTTGCCCAGTACTCCCAACACTGATGTTTGTTCTAATCTATCGTCAGTAAGTATTAAAATATCGAATTATTATAATTATATCCATGAATAAATTAATATCAAATCAGCAGTAATAAATATTTCGGACATTCACTAAAGTGACTAATTTGATTGTCAATATTCACCGGTGAAAGTCAACAACCACCGATTTCGGTCATTCACAGTAACATGCACATCATTTACATAATAACCTCATCAGGACGATTATTTCATACTTTGCCTAAATAGCATCCGCATTTCAAAAAATAAAAATGTATTGGTATTGTTGGCGATTATCTCGTAAGGCCATAAAGAATCATGCATAGTACAGGTAAGGAAGATATGAACCTCGAAGGAAAAGTGGATGAATACCCCAAGGAACCTATTCTGGCTAAAAATGCCTTTTTTTTCAAATAATTTGGATTTCTGACCCTCCAAAACACGGTGGGTAGCCACAATTATAAAAATATGACACCAGTAGTTTACTCAGCAAAGTGGTCGGAATTTAGAGAACCTTAATATCATTTATTTATTTTGTATTATTTACGATACCCTTAATATAATTTTATTTCTGTTTAGTTCATTATATCCCCATAAGGGTCAATCTAGGATTTTGTGCCATAGTCCCATTTTTGGAATTTTGTGAAAAACATGACAGAATTTTTTTTTAAAATTCTTCCTATTCTGTTACTGGAAAATTACATTTACATAGACTTAATTAAACTAAAACTCAGTGGCACAGCGATCCTTGGGAGAACAAGGTCTGCTGTGCACATCCCAATTTGCACACAAATTATGCACACAATTATGAAATTTGTTTATACTGTGGGGACTAGAATGCAGGCGATGTCAACCTTTATCTATCAAAAGGTACCCCAAGATAGAATCTAGTTATTATGTTAATTGGAATTGTATTATTATAGTTATAGTTAAACTACATTACTCCCCCACCAGGAATTTTATCTGGAATAGAATTCGATGAATGGATATCATCAGTTGATTCATTGCCGAATTGTGAAAGACCGGGAGAGCTACATCAAGTTCACCAGAGTTTGAGCGATGGTTGTGAGAGCTGCATTAAGTTTGCGATTATGTAAGTGGTCGCTCCTGTGTTGCTATTAGCAGTAGACCGTGTACAAGTTCCAGTAGTTGGACCGAGACTGAGTAGCATTAGTGTGAGGAGGACAATGTTGCAGTCACAAATAGCAGGTCAACTGTTCAATGTGTACCATCCCTCCACGTAGGCATGTTCGAATTGAAGTGAGCGTTACTGTCAAGATAGGTGTATTCAGATCATGTCCAAAGGACACCAATGTGGGCAGAATGTTCTGTATGTATTTATCATCAGCAGAATATCAACAGTCACTTATCAAAAAGAAATTCAAGATAAAATTGAGTTAATACGTCTTATATACAAGCGAATCGGAATTTTATTAGTGTAGTGATAGTTACACTACAATACAAAGATATTTTCTGGCAAGATATAATTTTTCATGATTATTGATTATTTATTATTATTTGTGTGGAGTGTTTTAAAGACAATGTCAACCTTCATTCCATCAAACGGTACCTCAAGATAGAATCAAGTTAACTTTGTCTTACATACTAGTGAATTGGTATTTAATAATTTTAGTGGTAGTTACACCATAAGTTCAAAGGTGTACAAATTTTTAAATCATTTTAAAGTATGTAACTTCAAATGACTAAACCTGAAAATTTTACAGAAATAGACCAAATAGTTTGAGTAAAAAAAATTAAAGATTTTTTTTCGTTTTTTAAATATTAATTTTTAAACACTATTTATCTAATTACATTCGAATATTGGATTCTGTCATTTAAACTTAAGATAGTTTGAAAAAGATACAAAACTTTGTACACCATTCAATTAAAAATATTTTTGACCAATCAAAAACTAGACAGGAAAAATAATAAATAAGGGTAAAAAAAAAATTAATTTTGCACGAAATTTTCTTTGGATATAAAACTTTTACAATTGTGTGCAACAATGTTTTAATTCACTTTAGTTTTAAAAGATATGACAGAAATATGTAAAAAATTAAATTCAGATTATGGGGACTAAACTTTCGACCACTTTCCTAACTAAAAAATTGGGATCAAACTTCCATTTGTGATTTGTTACCTCTAAGGTCAGAAATACAAATCTACTACAAAATAAAGTATGTTTATTCAGAAAAAGCATGCATTGTGCGGGATTCCATTCTGGTATAAAAAGTTTTCTTGGCTTTCAAAAAAACTGCAATTGGTGTGAATGTTACATATTTTTCCTTAATTTATCTTTTTTAACATCAAGCAATATCAATACCTTAATATGAAATAAGTATTTGAGCAGCTCTATTTTAAAATTATTCTTTTAAAACATACAATCAATTGAAAAGATTAAACTTCTTTACTTCTGTAATTACCTGATAGTTATGGCTTTCTTGATTTTCATCTAATCTTTCATAAGCAGCAAGTGGTTGACATGCTAGGTATTTCAGTCCTGGCTCTTCATTAATTGCATGATTTTTCTTATCATTAAATTTATTATTCATATTAGCTTGCCTCCAGTCGACATCACTGAGGCTCTCAGAGTCACTGTTTAGCAAAGAATGCAATTCCGGAGGCTTTTGTCTCATATCAACATCTTTGAAGTCTTTACTTTCACAAATAGAATCTTCATGCTCATCAACACATTCTTTCTTTTCAGGATGCTTAATATCACATTTCTCTCCAACAGTGCTAGGATGGAACTTATTTACAATGTCAAAACAGGGCTCTGTTCCAATAACAACCTGAGGAACCGGACCACTAGCAAATATTTTACATAACCGACCATCTCCTAGATCAGCCATCAAGGGTGGACCACCAAACTTAATTTCATATGGTTGGTTATCGATGTAAACTTCTCTTGTGGGAATACCCAAGCATATTGTATGTTTTTTACCATTTATTTCAAATTCAGCAGATTTTCCATCAAAATTTAGTAGTATTGGATTAGGCTAAAAATAGAACCAAAAAAATTCTCGTTCAATATAACTAGTGCATTTGAAAAAACAGATTATATTACTAAAATAAAATTTCATTGAAACCCTTTTTTGATTTATTCTTATAAATTAGTCATACAAAGAGTATTTATATTAGAACTATTGTATAAAAAGTATTGTAATTTAATATACTGTTTAATGTATCATATTAAAATCTTTGGAATTCATTCTACAGGGTGGCCACTCAAAACAGATTTCAAATTTCCCTGATTTTTCCAGGTTTTCCAGGTAAAAATCTTAAAATTTCCAGGTTTGTGTTTTTTTCCTTTTTTCTTATAAAGTGTAGGATGTGTACAAGAAAAGTGTCTGTATTATAAAATATCTTATTCAAAATGTCATTTTTTTAAACATATCTTGAAAAAAAAAATTTTTTTTTACAAGATATTTTTTTATTATTTTTTAATGTTCTGGTACAACATTAATTTTTAAAAAATTAAGACGTGGAGAAAATAATATGTTTAGCTTGCAGAATATATTGTTTTTATTGAATAATTTTAATTGTTTTTATTGAATTTAATGTGTTACTTTAAGTAGTATTTGCTCAAAGTGTACCTACAAAATGACAAAATCAGAATAACCAATAAAACCTTGTATAAGTATTGTTTAATATATTTTCATTAAGGAAAAGAAAACCGTTTCAGGTGATTATATATCAATAATTTTTAATAATTACAGTGGCTCCCAAAAGTGCTCACTCACTTATAACTTATATTGAAATAGGAAATAAAAATTCAATAATTAAAATGAATATTTCACAATGGGTATTTGATAATAAGATGTATAATCTATTCTTAGCAAAACTGCACGGAATATTTTAAAAACAAAGCAAAAGTTAATTTTTTAATCAAATAGTAACAAAAATGTTACCCCACGAAAGTCATCGTACATTTAAATGTTTTGGATCTCAGAATTAAAATTATCGTCAATTGCTTTTTTTATTTAATTATTTTTCATTTAATTTTTTATTTCTTTATTAGCAATTTAGTATCAAACCTATAATAGCAAAATTATATTTTAATTTTTGCTTGCTAACTCCGTAATATTTTATTTTATCATTTAAAAATGACTTGTGGTCGTAATAAAATAGACCAAATTTGATTATTTGTCTTCATAAGAGGTAAATCAGTAATGAATATGTTAAATTAGTTTACTGTATTCAATTGAACTGTGCAATATGTGATAAAATGCTTAAAAGAAGGACTTCATATCAGAGATTAAAATTATAAATTTTGTGGAAAAATTCATAAATTTGCAATTGAGTGTTGTAAAAGTTTCTGTAAAAATTTTAAAAAAATATTCTGCACGAATTTCACCTGAAAAAAAAAAAACTAGTTACACGTATTTTCAACCTTTAAAAGCTATTGTAGATGCTAAAGGAAACTCCACTAAATGTTAATTTAACGAAAAATTAGATTTACTAATAGACTGAGTTTTTTCTTTAAAAGTGTATGATGACTTTTGTGGGATAAAGTTTTTGTCACTTTTTGATGATTGATTCCTTAAAAATAAACTTTTCCTTTGTTTTTAAAATATTTCATATTGTCATTTAAAATATTTCAGTTTTGTTAAGATTAGAACACATTTTTTATCATTAAATATACATTCTGAAACATTCATTTTAATTAATGGAAAGTCTTATTTCATTGAAAGTCATAAGTGTATCAACACTTTTGTGAATCACTGTAATTACATTTCAATATAAAGCTGTACTGTATACTGCATTATACTGTATTTCATCTTACCAGTGCTTTTTATAAAATTCACTGATCATATTTTCCTTAAACCAATATCTCAAGTCAAATTTTTAAATAATGGTATTTTGAAATAGCATTTTTATTTTAAGAGATTCAGTATAAAAAAATAAATGTCAGAAATGTAAAATTGTCTAATTTTTAGTTCTATACTCTATAGAAGAAACAAAATAGATAAAATTCCTTAAAATTCATACTTTTTTGATTTTTTTTCTTATTTGAAATTAAAACATTTAAAGAATTCCAATCTAAACACACAGTTTTTTAGTTTAGCATAGTTAATTGTTTTTGTTTGAACAACTGGAATCTTGTACAGTGCAGAACTAAAACACTAAGTTTCGTTTTCCTTCTCCTGACTAAACACATATGAATAAAAAAAATTATATTTTATGTATATACATCATTTAATATGTTTCCTATATATTCCTTAGTCATTGTCAGCTTTTTTAGGTAAAAAGAGGAATAGTTTTGAAATATCATCTCTGGAATGCAAGCAACATTTACGAACTTTCGATATTGTGATAACTATACAATTCGAATTTTGAATCAAAAAACTAATATTTACCAACAAAACCGTAAAATTTGATATTAATATATAGTTAGTTTCAAAAAAAAACTTTTTTCAAAATAAAAATATACTATAAAAGGTTAAAATGAAATAGAAAAAATTAGCATTAATGCAAGAATTGTAACAATTTGTCGACAAACATTGCTGTTAGTGATGGGGGGAAATGCGTGATTGGTTGGTTTGCTGAGAAAAAATAATTTACAGATTTCTTTGAATGGGAGTTCAAAAGCTTTCAGAAAAAGAGTGCAATATAAAATCTATTATTTTAACCAACTAATTTTTAGAGAATTTAATAAAGTTAAAAATACAAAAACATTTTGACTCATTTTGTCAAAATAGAAAAAAATTACCACTCTCAATTGCGAACAAACTTGAATCATTGTGCGAACACGGACAGAATTTAAAAACCGAATTCTAACCCTGTCTTCCACATCCACCATAATCTTTGCCTTTCCTAAATTGCACAGTCCCATAGTCTGCATAGAGAGCAAAGGTTTCTACATTTGCATGGGAGAATTTTATGTTTTATTCCAGTTTAACAGGATGATAATGGAGCAAATTTTGATGAAAGCCAAGTAAGTTGATGATATTTTAACTGTTTGGAGATACATTTCCGTCTAAAAAATGTGGGTATAATCGATGAAACAATTTAAATTAAGAAAATTAGCAAATAATTTAAATTAGTGAAATTAAAAAAGTATTAAAAGAAAAAATTTCCAGCTTTTCTTTAAAATTTCCAGGTTTTTATCCATATTTCCCTGATTTTTCCAGGTTTTATCCAGTATAAAAAAAATTCCCTGATAATTCCAGGTTTTCAAGGTTTCCTAGGTGGGTGGCCACCCTGTTCTAGTTTAAGGAGGTACCAGTGTATATGGATACACCTAGCTAACTGCAAAGTACCAAATTATGCACCAAAAAATAATGTTGGAAAATAGTTGTTTATTCAAGAATTCAGCAAAGCCATACTACTTTTGATAATTTACTGTTGTTGATGTTTAATTTATTCTAATGGATTAGACGCGCAAACAGAATTTACATCAGAGCTATTCCATCAAATGTATTGTAAGTTAATATTAAATTTTGTGTATAAGATGAAATTTTTGGAATTTATTTTAAAACTAAACTATAGAGATGGCAGTGTGTATAGATACACCCAACTGACTGCAAAGTACCAAATTTAAACCAAAAAATATTTGTTAGAATAAGCTGCTTATTTAAAATGGAGCAAAACCATTTAACTATTAAGTTTTCAGCAAAGGGAGTTTGAAATTTGCTGTACAACAATGTCACTTCTACTCACCTTTCAGATAAAAACAAAATAAAACAAAAAATAACATCTAATACAGATATTGCAGATCATATAAAAGATAACAAGTAAATTCAAAAATGTGCCAACTTCCGATAGGATTATGAGTGATGCCATGCTCTTTAAAAAAATAAATCAATTGATTTTTATTCAATTTTATAAAGAGTGAATGGAAATATTGATATTTTCATTAAATGTAATGAATGGCTAACTTTTTATTTCAATGCAAGTGCATAATGAATTATAATTCAATGTCATGACAACTGAATATCAAAATCTACTTGTAACCTTTTTTTTCTATTAGATATCGTAGCATTAGATATCATGAGGTTGGTTGGAATTGGCTTAATTTTTTGTAGAGTACTTTCTCAATAAAGCACCTATAATGGATCTCTCCTGTACAACAAAGCGCCAATTGAATACTTACTTCTGATTATAATTTGGCAGTTATATGACTGGGGGCTTCTGCCTCCCAGAGCCTCTAAGTTCGACCATTGAAATTTTATTCAGTATTTGAAAAGAAATTTTTACTTGTGATACTTAAAAGGGTTATGCCTTAAAATTTTCAAGTAGTACATAGAGCTTTTTCAGTTTGAATGTATGGCTACGCTTGAGAACTTAATACTGTTACATGATTACATAATAAAAGTAACTTTTTATAAATGAGAAAATTTATTTGTAAGTTCATCATGCTTCAATATCCTAAATTCAATACAAGACAATCTTCTGATATCACACTATACACCCTACCCTGCATTACAATGTATATCAGCTGAATTTCATCAAAATTATTTAAAATTAGGAATGACAACTGAAATCAATTAAATTTTGCAACAAATGATTTTAGACAGAACAAATTATAAAATAAACATTTTTACACAGTATAAAACATACCAAGCCTTCAATGTGTATACTTTTCTGTTCTCCTTTGAAAGTTAATTCATGTGGTGCACCATTATCAAAGATAATAAAGGCTCTGTTTCCAATGAAGTGTATTGTTCTCTTTTGACCATCTAATATGAACTCTCTTGTACCTTTAAGTACATAAGAATCTGAACAAAATGTTACATAAAAAGCATCAATTTTTCAAGACCATACATAAAATAATGAAAATATCACTCAAGAAACACATAAAATAATGAAAATATCACTTTAAAAAAAAATTACTATAACATTATTAACTATAACATAAAAAACACTATAACATAAAAAATGTATAAGTTCTGTACAATTTTTTTACATGAATTCTCTAAAGAAAAAATACTATCACAAATTAGAAATTTATAATTCAAATTACTATGCTGATACTTATTGGATTAAATATCTACATTAACTTATTGGATTAGGTAAGGAGAGACTTTAAAAGAGATTTGTGATCAAATAAAAAATAACGATGAAAATCTTTATATATATATTGTCAGATGATATAAAGTTGCATCAATTTTTCTACACATTATCATGTCTTAAAATTTTTATAAATTCTCATCTTGCTTCTATATCCTTAATTCAATACAAGACAATCTTCTGATGTCACACTATATATCCAGCGTTACAATGCATATCAGCAGAAATTCATCAAAATTAAACAAACATGTAACTGAAACATGTTTAACTCATGAGGCAATCAAGATAATATTTATGAAGTAATATCTTGATTCTAACTCTATCAAGTAAATATCATAGCTAGACTAAAAAGAGACTTTCTGCAAAATTTTAAAAAATATTTTAAGCTAATTATTTATTTCCATTTTTTATTTGAAATTTTCCACTGTCTTTAATTGCTTAAAGCTTCAAAACAAAAACAAAACATTTTTAGTCTCAATATTTCTCACCCTCTATAGCTCTATGTAGTTAAATCACAACTATAAACAATCAAACTAAAATTAACCTATATCGTATTCTGGGCCCATTTGAACACTACATAAAAATAGGGTGCCAAAATTGGACATTTGGGCAGCACTTTCAAGGCAAAACATGACGAAACTGCTGAGCATAACACAGCCTACTGCAAGGAAAGAAACACCCCGCCATATTCATCCTACTTACCTAATTTGCCTAACAATAATGCCAATTACTTTAATATTAACTAATAGAAAATTAAAAAGGAAAATCATGCCAATTAATTGTTTATGACAGACATTGTGACAGCTCAGCCCCCAGATGAATAACTGCACAACTACCAAAAGAAAAGTAAATAAAAACCTCCAAAGTAAACAAAGTCCTGAATTTTAACAAGTAACATCAGTCAATAGATGTTTTAAATTTAATGATCAACAGAAAATTACATGAAACCCCCACATCAATTAAAATTGTAACAAAAAATTTTTTAACCCACCCCCCTTTGGAAAGCAGAAATTTACTTTGATGACTCCCTCCTATTCCCTGGGAATGCAAGCACAGACGCAAAAAAATGTGAAAGTTACCTACAACTCAACAAAATCGTAGATGTAAAACAACTAAATACACAAAACTTGCAATTCAAAAAAAAGATAAAGCAGCAAAATTCCTCTGAGGCCTCAAATGTAAACCTCAAATTAAAACAAAAAAAAACTCTAAAAAGGTTTTGACTAAGCACAGATGAAGATACAGAAGAATTTAAAAAAACAAGAATTCAAACTTATCAAAAAATATTAAATTGCACAACCTCAAATAATCTCTACAAAAATCTAAGTAACCCAAAATGGAAAAAATCATACCTAAACTCAACTGGCAAAACCTAAAGGTATACCCAGAAGAAAACCATGCACTTTCCTAACTTGGACTAATTGTGAAATCCTGAAACGCCAAGCTCAGGGCCTTCTACACTACCTACTTAACAACTTAACCCCAGCCAATCTAGCCTAAGCCTTTGTATGCTTGAAATCATCACAATTAAATCTAAGCAGCCACCACTCAAGCACCTGTATAGTTTGCATGTCAGAAGCAAATTTTAAGGTAGAACCTCTTCTGAACTGTGACAAACCAATAGTTAAACTTAAAAATCAAGCCTAAGCTTAACCTGTTAACTTATTTTAAACTTGGTTAAACTAAATACCTATCCCCAAAAAGCTCTAAGCTTAACCCAAAAAAGCAACCACCCCTAACATTCTCTCCTTTTTTCCTACAATGCACTAAAATTTCAAGTTTTAAGAATCACAGTTGAAACTCCAGTCAATGAACTGACAAAATCATTGATAAAAGTCCATAACAAACTTTCCCTTTTGTCTACTATCGCCAAGCACATCCCTACTAATACCCCATTTGGATCCCATCAAAAATCTAAAACGATTGAAGAAAATACCCAACAAACAAAACACATAAACAGAGCTGACAAATAAGCTTGGAAATCCAAAAAACACAAGGCCAACTCAAACTTAGGCTCTGAACCTAAAAAGAACTACTGAAAATAACTTATCCCCTACAAAAATGCAAGAAAAAAAATTATCTCCCCTAAACTAACCTAACGTTTTAAAAGAACTGAATCTCTACAGTTAAATTTGCCAAAAGTAATAATATTAAAAATACACTCCCCCCGAAATCAAGTTGCCTGCACTCCGTCCACATAGAGACAGTGAAATTTAAATTCACATAAAAACCTTCATCCTATTAAAATTACAAATCCCAATATTGTTGTCCATATTAGAAATGCTAATTCAGTTACAAATATTGTACTTAACATTAAACCTATTATTAAAAATGCATATCTCACAACATCAATAAGAAAGTAAACAATCTTGAAAACCAGAAACATATTCACTTACAATATTTAAAATCCTAACTTCGTAATTCTCAGTTCAAAAATAAAATCTTTTTACAGGCCATGTAAAATTTCATTTAAACTTTAAAATTCCACCTTAAGCTTTTCATTCAAAATTTTCAAATCTTCAGCAAACTTACCTGGCTCACCAAATTGTTCTTCTTTCATACTACACATAAATGAAGAAAACAGGAGCTTAAAAAAAATAAAACTTCGAGAATGTGGAGTTTTGTACCCCAGAGTTGTTAAACCTTGAGAAACAGTCCTGATTTCTAATTCCGGTTATCATGCCGATAACATCATGGCAATGCGCTGAATTATATCTGCAAATGGAACTCTAGCGGGAATTTGAGGATTACTTCAAACTTCTATCCATTGAACAATTGCATTTCTTCAAAAACTATGCAATGTTCTTCCCATCTGTGACTATAGTAACAACGACTTTGACTTAACTGTTCTGCTACTTTTACAATGATCTAGTTATTGTGCTTTCTCAACAGCAAACTAATTTTAGCTCTAGTGCTTCCTCTACAGAAAACTCTGCTACTACAGTTATTGCAGCAAACATGAATAGGCAATATCCATATGCAAGGGCGCCGCCAGGGGGGTGCAAGGAGGTGCATTTGCACCCCCCTGGCTTTTTTTTAAAACCAATTAAGGAGATACCGAAAAACAATTTTGTTATAAAATTTTTTTATTAAAAATATTTGTATTCAAAATCAAATAATTAACTAATCATTGATACATAAACAATTAAAGAATTGTTTAATCAAACAAGAATTATAATCGTCTTGTTTGCTGTCCAAATCTGTTTATAACGTTTTCAATAAATTCTGAGTCATCTTTGATTCTTTTCTTATGCACACTGAGCATGCACAAACCATAGAGTTGAAATACAACTCTATGGCACAAACTACTTAATCTCTCGTGAGACATTGTAGACTTATTCCATATTTTGATGCTTCGCATTGTACTAAAAGTGCGTTCAATAGTGCACGTAGTAGCTGGAAGAGTTAGGCCAATTTTGATTGCCGCCTCTACAGCCGGATAAAACGTTGTGACTTCAATAACTAAATCGATGTATTCGAGGGATTCGTAAGAGTTTTCTCTATTCCTCCACATTTCGTACCACGTTGTAGCGTCAGTGATGAAATTCGATGAGAGCAGATCTTTATACATAGTATATATATCTTATAAAACTTCAGGATATGACACTTCGTCCAGTTTGTTCATCGCATTCGGGTAAAGCTGTAAGAGTGAAAATGCTTTTCTTTGTGTAGAAGAAAAACGGTCTTTAAAGAAGATATAATGAAGTCCAAATAAGGAATAAAGATTGATCTCCTAAAAAATTCTTCTGCGTTTTCAGAAGGCACATTCGATCTATGAACTTGTCTAGATGCCACTCGAGGTCGATTCATTTCAATGCCTAATTCTTCGCAAATGTGTTCTGCGTTCGTGAAAATTGCAGTAAACTTTTCAGATGCATTGTTTTGATGAATTTGCTGCCCCTCTATCAAATTCGAACTTTTTTTTAAAAAAAATAATGAAGAAATGAATCTTGAAGAAAATTAACAATGAAAGTATATGTAATAACAAAACAAAATGTAATAACGGAATTTTTTAAACTTTTTCTTCTTTTTTTTTGGGGGGGGGGATTAGTTTATTAGAGGGTTGCACCCCCTTTTAGATTATTCTGCCGGCGCCCTTGTCCATATGTGTTGATATTGGTAGTTGTGCTTCATTTAAAACAAACTGTGTTTCTTGTATGTATTGTGGTAATTAGTGTACAGCTGATGTTTACACATATTGAACTATTCTTTTTACATGTGCCTATTGTGGATGATGTATGGTTATGTTTCTATGTCAAGTTCTAATCAATGTTTCTACTACCATATCTTGGATAATGATCTTGCAATAAGTTTGCTAGCTTCTTCAATTTCCTGTCCTCTTTGTCCATGTGCAGTATGTCACAACACTTATATTTTCTAAGTTTTGTAAAAAATTAAATAAGGCCTTTTTTGTCTATAAAAATTAAATTAAAAATTAGTCGAAATAATTACAAAATTAAACAAAAAATACTTTTTAAAAAAAAGCTAAAAGCTTACAAATGAAAAGAAAGTAACTAGTTTCAGAAACATTACCATATCAATGATATTAAGAGTAGTTATGTAGCAATCACAGTCTTTTAGAAAGTCTTTAGAAGTCTTTCATTAACACATTTAGGAAAAATGTGCTAAGCATAATTTTTTAAGATTAAATTTGTAATTTAAATGAAGCCCCTTTTTAACCTTAAACATGAATATGGTTTCTGATTTTGTAATCAGGAACATTAAAAGTTGAAGAAAAAATATATTAATGCGTCTAAAATATTTTTTTAGATTTAAAAATATCAATACACTTTGAAATTTCAAACAGAAGTTTTTAAGTTGAAAAAAATACTGTATTTTTTTTTACCTTTAATCATTATAGTTTGGGGTGATAATGGGCAGTTTTCCCATGAGTTGGTAGATGGTATTACTCCTTTAGATTCTATCTTTTGAGATTCTTTTGTTTTCTAAAACATCATGAGTAAACACAATAATTGTAAAACATAAGAATTGTATGTTAGAATATATTAATTGAAAAAATAATAAATATCTATATAAGAAACTTCACTGCATGCATGAAATCAACTTCATTAAAAATTATTTTCTAAAATATTATGAGTAATATGAACGTAAAAATTATATGTTAGAATATATAAATTGAAAAATTAATAAATATTAAAAATAAGAAACTTCACGACATGCATGCAATCAACTATATTCAACTACAATTATATGTTAATAATCTAATCAATTATATTAATGCATGTTATAATATTATTTTTTCATATGATAATGATCTTCCTTCACTACCATACTGATAAACATAATGCTATTGTAACAGAGTAAAATTTTCTAGAAATCAGCATTTAAACATTGCAGTTGAGTGTGCAAAACATAAGCAAAGAAGGAGAATACAAAGAATTGAAAACATTAATTTTGAAAAATAAAAAATGAGTCATGGTAGGTTTCCTCGTTGCATTATGAATCAAAATGAAATAGACTGTTTGCAGTTCTATATATTTGGCTGTTTCATTCTGCTAATCAAAGCAATGCTATTATAAAAAAAGTGCTGGAATAAAGAAGCCAAAACAAAGAAGCAAGTAAACTATGTCAATGTTTTTGCAAACATTGTAGCTTAGAAAATTTGGGGTTTGATTTGATAGAATAAGTTCTTAAATGATATGTACAGTCCGCAAAAAAAAAGATATCACCCTGAATAACTTTCGTTCTAATGATCCGATTTTCACGAATGGTACCAGGGGGTGTCCTCAAATATGCTAATTAATTAGTGCTAACTATTAATTAAGTTACGAAATCAGACACAAAAACGTACTTTCTCTGAATAAACATATATTTTTTTTTACATATTTGGAATCTAGACACTTGAATTAGGGGGGTTGACAAAATTTTAAAACAAATGGGTCGTAAATTGGGTTGCAATAAAGGTTTATATATTTGGCGATAGTCCAGAAAACCGCCAAAAAAGTCGCCTGCGCAAATAAATTTTTTAAGATAACCCATTGACTGATTCAAAAGAGAAATGCTTAATTTTACTAGGTTGCTAGGCAACCAATTTCTGACTGTAAAAAAGTTGAAATAATGTTTTGTGATTGCTCTGAGAGGTTTAATTAATAGTTAATAGGAAACATCTCGAAGTTTCTAGGCAATAAACAATTTTTAAGTTCATTTATGTCCAAAAAGCAAAAAAAAAAAATAAAAAAAAATTATTTTATTCTCCTTTGAAAAGAAAATTTGAATCGATTTATAAGTTTTTAGAATTTAAATACATGAACTTTTTATCTGATATTATTTAGATTATGCTATTTTTGCTATGTTTATTCGAGGATTTCATACTAAAATCAAATTAACATAACTTATAATAGCTATATACAAAATTTTAGGGATAATGATTTTTACAGCTTTAATCGAGTCTTCTAGGCATGAAAGTTTGAAGAAAAAAAAAGTGCATGAAAAATAAAATGTAGATTGTATAGTAATTCTAATGCACATTCACAAGGTTTTCTGTAATTTACGATTTCTTTTTTCTATAACTCAATGAATTGCTGAATGTTTAGTGGCATTTTAAAAACATTGAAATATGTTATGTTTAAGAATAAGATATTGAAATAATATGTTGCATATTGTATGATTCATTGTTTAAAAAATTGCTTCATTTTGCTAGATATTTACGTTACATGGTTTTCTTTGGATAAAGATGATTAGCAAATAGCATCCACATGTTTCGATACATTCTGAAACTTACGTTCGCAAATTCACCATAAAATGTCGCACAGCATATTCTTCAATTACGATAAGCTACATTTACCACCAAATACTGCTACTATGATTATTTTTGTTATATATATATCAGATATATATATATATCTCAGATATCAGATATATATATATAGCTCGTAAGGCCCTTAAGATACTGAAATGGGGGCACGAAAACTTAAAAGATTTTTTTTTCCTAATGCCCGCCTGTGTTAACATCAGTCAATTCAGGCATCTACAGGGCGACAGATATCTGTGTGGCCTAAGGATTCCTAACGAGCATCAAACATTCTCAAAATTAAGTGTTCATTCACTGGAAAATTTAGTGTTTATTCAATTTAAGAACTGTTCCTTCACTTGGTTATCTTACTACTTATTATTTAAACCACCAAAAGCTTAAAACAATATTATGTAAGTTATCTAAATTTTTTTTACATAATTTGCATTTAATAACAAATATGTCGACATGCATTTAATAACAAATACGTCATTTAGCTAAAATTACAAATTTTGAAATTTTTATGATTTTTTTTTAAAGACAAGCTAAGCTTAAGTATTCCTTCACTGGTTAGTTTACCCTATAAGATTTTGAGAAATTTGCGATGTTGTGAGAGATGCTTAAAAATGTTGACTGCGTATTTTTATTAATATTTATAAAATATATATTCAAGAAATTGATGAATATTTTATTCCAAATTTATTCATTCGTATGTATATTATTGAAATTTTATCAGTTATTGAGAAAAAAAAAATAAAAAAAAATCACATTAAAGAAGCACAATCTGTTGTATAATCATATTCTATCAGAAGCATGCTTTTATAAAACTCCACATTCTCTGAATAAAATGTATTTTATTCAATAAAATGTTTTATTCAAATTTCTTTACTAAATTGCAAATAGAATTTTAGACGACTAAAGAAGAAACATCGTATTTTATAGCTTAAAAAAATAAAAATGAAAAGATAAGCAAACGATTATTAGCGAAAAAAATATGAATGAAATTTTATGCTAAGCGCGCGAAGTCAAGTTCCTCGCAAGTTTATCACATTTTAATATTAATCGCTCCATTTAATCATTTCTTCATTGTCGCCAAATTATTTTTTTAAAAATAATTAATTTTAATTTTTCTCAGCTTCTAATAAATAAAAACAGTTGAAACTTTAGATTTTTCAATTGAAAAATATGTAGATTAATATGGTATAAAAAAATTCATACCTTATAATTCAAAAATTTTTCATCCTTAATTTAATTAAATAATAAAAAATAATTAACAATTATTAAAAATTATTTTTTTCGTGAAATTATCTTTGGGTAAATGAGTTTTATGACTGGGTGAAATTTTCTTCGAATTGCTTTATTAGTTTTTAAAATATGACTAAAAACGTAAAAAGTGAAATTAACATTAAGGGGTACGAACTTTGGATCGCTCTCCTGACCAAACTATGGGGACCATATTTCCCAGATTGCGGCTACCCCCTATATTTTGAAGGTTAAGAATCCAAATATGTAAGAAAAAATATATGTTTATTCAGAGAAAGTACGTTTTTGTGTCTGATTTCGTAACTTAATTAATAGTTAGCACTAATTAATTAACATATTTGAGGTCACCCCCAAGAACCATGAAGATTAACACTTAGTTCGTGAAAATCCGATCATTAGAACGAAAGTTATTCAGGGTGATATCTTTTTTTTTTTGCGGACTGTACAATCTATCCTAAAAAGTCTAAATTCTTTCCACAAGCTTAATTAAAAAATGAGAGAGAGGGTCAAATGGGGGCAAAACTTAAGCATTGCTAACTAAACAAGTAAGATAAAGTTGATGTATTGTGTTTAATGTATTTTTTACACTGGATACTATAAAATCGAATTATAGCAAAAATAACTAAAAGAGCTCTGGTGGCTCAGGTGTAGAGCGCTTTCCTTTCAATGAGGTGGACCAGGTTCGAAACTCAGCGACGGCTGGTTGATTCGAATTCGGCACCCGGCTTACACAGACCACAGTGCTGACGTAAAATATCATATCCTCATGGTAGACGGATCCTGGGTTAGCGTCCCTTTGCCACCAGGCTAACCATGGGTGTTTTTTTTGGTTTTCTTCTCCATGTAAAGCAAATGGGGTATTTTCATCAAAAAGTCCTCCACAAAGGCAAATTTCTCCCAATATTTGATCTAGGAGTTGCCTTGTCTTCTGAATAACATAAGGTTCTAAATTATAAGGCTGCGGAGTTGAACATTTGTAGTTGCAAACCCAAAATTGGGTCGGCTATTCAACGAGGGTTATAAAATAAAATTACTGATAGTTAAGAAGTTATAAAGGTTTTGTATAAAAACAAAATGAAACATTTTGACTTAAATATTTACATATCTGATTTTGCTATCTAAGCAAAAGAGGCATTTGTTTTTTATAGATTTTTCTGGCTGAATCTAAGAAAACAAACAAAAAAAGGATGACATTTCTTTGCTTCTTCTATAATAGCTTTGTCTTAAGTCTGTAATATACATCAGCATTCAATCTGCATAGAATCAAAATGTTCTGATTGGATGTTACATTTGAGCTTAAAAAAGTTAAACATACAAGTGCCTTTTTAACTCTGGGTTCTCTTTTTTCTTCATTCATTTCTGCATAACAGTGGAGCGTGATTTGTTGAACTTTACCCAACTCTGGAAATCTGATAAAAAGCCATCAAAGAAATTTGAATGATGGCAATTTATATAATATATTGCGTTGTGCAATTTGATGGCTCAAATTTTGTTGTGGGGTTCAGAAGGTTCAAGGCTGCGTCTTCGGCTAAATATTAAGGATAAAGAGAGTCCATTCTGAGTATAGCTCTTGAAGAGCCTGTTCGGAAAAAGAGTATACTTCGATACTGTCTTTGATAAGTTTTATTATTACTCACAGATGAAAAAGACTGAAAGCTACTTATATAAAGGAACAAACTATTTACCACATTCTAATAAGAAAAAGACTTTTTGTGCATAAAAAAACAGTTACTGAATTTCCACAAACATTACTATTTTCATGGTAATTCAGGAAATAAATTTACTTTTTAACCAGTTGAGAATATGTGGTGTTAAAATAAGAAAAATGAATGTTGTTGTGTATTCACTAATGATCTCTCAAGTGGTTCTTCTTAAATGGCTATTAAAACCAACTTTCAAAAATTTAAATTGAGAATTTATATGTAAGAGATTGCTTGATGACAAATCATTAATAAAAGATAGTAAAGTTAGACTCTGAGTGGAAAACTATCATAGTAAACAAGCTTGCACTTGCTGCTTTTCCACTGCTTGTTACAAACGTGATATTTTTGTTTTTTGTGTACAAATAAAGAAAACTTGCAATTGAAAGAATTTTTCAGAGAATTGTCTGAAGACTATTCCGGGTAACAAATGTGGTGGGAAAAGTAATTGACAATAGAACTATAAATTCGAAGGACAAATCCAGGTTAACTGTTAAGTAGCTGCATTGTCCTTTGCAATTGATCATTTGAATATACAAAATGTTGTTGAGCAATCCTCGTCAAAAGCTCATACATGTTCACAGAAAGACTGTTGTAAAAAAGTGAAGTTGCATTCATGTAACATTTCTTATGCTGTTAAATAGAACAACTTTAAAAGTGAGTATCAATACAGTAAGAGAAACTTAAAAGACTGGTTTTGAAGGATCAACATCTTGGTCATTCATTAAGATGCATCCTCGTAAATATTGGATTTACTGCTCAAACTTCTAGTTGTGAAATTTGTATTTGTTTCAAGTAAGTATTAATGCAATAGAAGAAGGTTAAAAGAAAGAGATTAAAGAAAAAAAGGGGATAAAGTTAAGTAAGAACTACAAAAAACTTATGTGAGGTAACAATGCAAGATGGTAAGCCCCCAGAGTTCTAGAGTTGGTAGCTTTTGCATAAAATCTAGCCAAAATTCTGCTCTAACTCATGATTAATTTGAAGACAATGGTAAAAGATATTAAGGTTTGTGAGTGACTTCCTTGAATAAATAACCTGCTATAAGAGGATAAAATGATAAGCAAATATGATGCCAGATGCATAAATAAGTATAAATACAAAACAGTATTTATATCTAAATAACTTTTGCACTATTTATTGCATCAGCATTGCATTATTCTCCGCCAAATGAACCAATGGAGCAAACAATTCCTCCTATGATCAAATAGCAATATCTGATGCCTAAACAGGTTAAAGTCAAAATGTATACTGTTTTTACAAAAAACCTTAAGAACTTTTTAACTATTAGTTCATTTGTCTTGGATTTAGTTTTAATTTATTTATTATAAAAAAATATATTGGAAACAATATCTCACTTGCACAGAGAGCAATGTTTAAGTTTTAATCCCATTTAACCTTCTCGCCATCTTTGATCTCCCATATAAAAATGTAACCTGCAGGAGAAATTTAGATGCTACACATCATAGACATGGTATTATGACATTTTCAGTTAATTTTAAATTAGCGGCTATTGACCTTCTTCATGGTCTAAATTTTCTGGGCTATTGAGAGCACAATTAAATATCTTAAAGGGTAACATGATGCTTCACTATACGACAAAACATAGAGAATGAATTTCAACAACAAGTTTAAAAAATGTGCTTTTAAATGAAAAACAAAAACATGCTTGTTTTTGAAAAAAAGGAAAAGAATTCACTTTTAGAAAAATTTTAAGCAAGTACCTAACACAAATAAATACTAACCCTAAAAAATGCTCAAGAATATTTTACTTGTTTTATCTCTTTATTTGGTAATTTTGTAAATTAGCTTTTGAATTCACTTACCCACAGTTCCATATTTAATCAGGATTTTACTGTATATAAAAGAATTATGCAAACAAAAATCTGAATGATTAAAATAAAAATTAAAAACACTTACTTCCTCATTTTGAAAATTACTCAAAAACATCTTGTTGAACTCCTGACAATTTCCTGATAATAATTCCATAAATTTAGCGGCTGACATTTCCCCTTTCCTATAACTTTCTTCTGCTTTTTGAATATAGAGAAAAGGATCAAAACAGTCTGCAGTATAATTTTCGTTACTTCTAACCATTTCTCTGTATGAAAAACAAAATAAAATTAAATATCCTTAACTGCTTAATAAGTTTCTAAAAAAAAAATAGATTTATGATGTTTAAAAATAAATTTAATAGGGCATATTTTAAAAACAAATTTAGTATTACTCAAAAAATAAAAACACGAAAAGAAACATTAATGAATCAGTTTTAAATTTATCTGGAGATTGTCAACAAGATGTTCATATTTAATTCAGTAGTGGTAACAATTTGAAAAAAAAGCATTAGGACTTATAACTTCTTATGTAAGGACTTCTGACACTACCATATTTTTTTTTTTTTTTTTTTTTTTTTTTTTTTGAGGCAGAGTCTNTTTTTTTTTTTTTTTTTTTTTTTTTTTTGCTTTTAAAAGAAAACAAATATTAATTTATCTAATAACATCTCTTTCATTTATTTAAACTCATAGCATTACTATGAATGCTCAATAAAATCAAAAACTAAATATCCAAAGACTTATATTTAGTTTTTATGTACAGTGCACAAAATATATATATATACATATGAAACATTCTGAATAACCTTAGATCAAATTATCAGATTTTCAGGAACTAGATACATCTTAATGGTTCAAGCAGGTAACCTCAAATATGCTAATTGTGCAGACAATATTTCAAGTTACAAAATCAGGCACAAAAGTTTACTTTCTCAGAATAAACATATCTTTTGTTGAACGGATTTCTGACCCCCAAAATATAAGAGATATCTGCAATTAGGGATATATGTTTCCAATAGTTAGGTAAAGGGAGAGGTCCAAAGTTGGACCATTCTCCTAATCATAATTTGTCAAAAAAAGGTATGTTTATTCAGAGAAAGTTAATTTTTGTGCCTGATTTTTAACTTGATATTGTCAGCACTATTTAATTAGCATATTTGAGGTCACCTCCTTGAACCATTAAGATGCACCTAATACGTGAAAATCTGATCATTAGATCAAAAGTTTTCAGGATGCATTGTTTATATTTTGAGCACTGATCAATTCTACAGATGTTTTAATAAAAACTTTATCAAATTTCCTTTTCAATACCTGAAACTTTCAACAACTCACCGAAATTTTATATTGTATACACTAAATGGAAAAGTCATTGGATTGTTTCCTTTTTTAAATTTTTTTTAAATACTAAACAAATTCTTTAACTTTAGATATTAAAACACTTTTGAATAAAAATTATTTTTTCTTATTAGTTTTAAATACGATAACTATTGCTTAAGGCTCTAAAAGAATAAAGTTGTAATCAAGAAAAATTAGTGAGAAAAAATTTAATTTAATAAAGAAACATCGATATTTTAACAAATAAGCACACAAGGTTCACAAAAGTGAAGGTACGAAGGAAAGACACGAAATTATAGGGCAATTGCTGCTTATTCCAGTATACGCAATTAAAGTATATGATTTTTTTCCCATTTTTTTACAGATCTCAAAACCTTGACATGATAAAAACTTAATGGGAAATTGTAAATAACTGCATAATTTTAAAAAACAAATATATCATGCTATTCCACTAATCTTATCATGTGCATTTAAAAATTTGTCAGAAAATTAAATTAAATTCTATTATAATTTTTAATTGCATTCAAACAAAAGTATTTCTTATCAATTTCTTAACATATGCTCACAGAGTTCTAGCCTTTATATAGAGCAAAGCATGATATATTTTAGTGAATTTAGGATTTTTTTTTTTTTAATTATCTCAAAAGATTTCTTAAACAAGAAACCTTGAATTTAATAAGCTTATCTATTAAATAAGCAATTCATGAAATACTTTCATCCAAAATATAACTTTTCTTTAATATTGGTGCAAAAATTAAAAAATTTGCACTCTCTAGTGCACTACATTGAACTTGTGTTAAACTTTCAGATAATTTGGTGTTCCTCTAAAGCTACACTTCAACAATTCACCTCCAATTCTTCTTAATCCAATATATTTAACTAATGCCATATTTGAATAATCTTCAATGCATAACATTTTTAAACTATCTTTAACACAGGAACAGTTTTGCACCATTATTTTTGAATATTTTAAAAAGAAACAAATAAAATAGTGTTATTTAAACAAGATTGAACTTCTCTCATATACATCAGCAAATATTATTGAAACGTATCAAATCTGGAGAATATGGTTCCAATAATTTGGTGACCATATTTTCACCCCTTCGAGCCATTAAGATTGAGTCCTAGAACGTGAAGATCCTATCATTAGATCAAAATTTATTCAGGGTGATCAGTTTTTTACGCCCTTTACATAATTTAGTTACATACAATATGACTATAAGTGTATCTAATTTATCTTCCGTATTATTAATTAATGTTTGTTTCCACTTCCTTAGAAGTATTGCATTTGAATTGTCATTTTACCATTTTAAATTTGACATTTCAAATTAATAACATTTCTAGGTTAATGGTCTAGGTCTCTATCTTTAGTTTTACGATACAACTGTGCAATAAAGCTGGTGCTATCAACAAGATGATCTTGACCATATTGTCATAAGTCAGTAAACGTAGGGTCCATTTTTCTTACTAATGTTCTTTTAAACCACTAAGAAATTAAAATATAGATAAATACTGCACTTAGTTAGTCATACAACTTTGATAAATTGCTCTAAACCATGTTCATATTATTGTAACAGTCATAAATAATAATATTGTATGCTTGACAAAACAAAAGACTTATTTTCTATTCACGAAATTATAATATCCAATAAAACTTTTATTCCTAAAAAGTGTTTTAAATCTAAACTTTGTGAAGTAATGAATTTAATGCAAAAAGTTCAGAATTATCCTATGATGAAAAATAAGCACCAGGTCACACTTTAGCCTCTTAACCTTTTGGTACAACCATACTCTCTCCCAAATTATTCATAAATTTCCAAAACAAATGAAAATACTATTAAAGCTCTTTAACCAACAAAAAAAATGAATCAACGGAATAATTCATTTAAAATATCAAAGTTTTAAATGTCTTAATTTAAAAAACACTTGTACCTTGAATGCAAATCTTTGTGTTGGTTCATTCTTGTTAGGAAATATTCCTTAACAAATTGTAAACAAGAACTGTTCGACTCAGCTGAAATCTTTAGAGATTTTTGTTTTCCTAGAGGACAAAAGTGAGTTTCAAGAACATGAAGAAATAAAACATTAATACTAATTGTTTCAATATAAATTTATCAAAATTCCAGTACAAATATTTAAATATAATATAAAAAAGCCCTTTTCCAAAAAAAGAAATTTAGAAGATTTTAGTGCCTTTCTATCACAAAAAAATAATAAATAAATAAACAAAACTTGTGTGACACCTAAAAAAATCTTTCTAGTTAAATACAGCTACAAGTTGTTCATGCCTTTCTCTATCATGGAAGTCCTTAGAAATTTCGAAAAATTAAGAAATGCATACTCATTTAATTTGCAGAGGACTTTGCTTAGGAAATATTAAGGTTATGGGGCCTTTTAATCCTAAAAATGGAAGGTGGATCATATGATGCATACAATACCTGTTTATTTCACAACAAAAATTTTTTACAAAACCAGGTCCCATTTTTTTATTTTTATGAAGCAGCTGTGTAAAGAATATAATTATCGAGCAATGAATATCTACCAGTACATGCAGGTATGAGTGTGCAGTTCTTAATATTTACTATATTTAAATAAGTACTTTAAAATAAGAACTTAAAAAACTAAATAATAGAGTTACATGTTGCTAAATTACATAAGATTTAAAATTAATAGCCACTTTTATATTATAATAAGAAATATAAAAATTCCTAAATTCTATTTTCTTATTTAAATCAATTTCAATACATCTAGTTAAAGTTTGGGACTCTTTACGCCTGATCAAAGAATGGTTTCAATATTCCTCCCTAAAAAGATTAGGATAGGTCGTCTTTTTGAAAGAAAATTAACACAAATTTGATTGAATTCATAAGCAAAAGTCTTCAGGTAATTTAAGTGAAAAATTGACAAGTGCAGCCATTGAGGAAGTTTAAAATAATACTAGCAAGCAGCTTTAAGAGACAGAAGTAAAAGCATACTTCAACTCAAATGCGACAAATTAAGTAAAAATAATTTTTATAAATCTTTAACAAATTGGTCTTACAAAACAACATTAAAGAAAATAATGAAAAATAAATGGAATAAACATTTTCAAGTATAATATGATTAAAATATGGAGGGTACACTCTGTGAAAAAGGATTTCCACCATACCAGATCCTAAACTATTTAAATCCCATCACTGTAATTACCTTGGTTTTACATTTGAATGAAAAAGGAATTTTTAGATTTGGCAAAATAAGAGAAATAAATGGATTTTGGTATTATATGGATTTTGGTATAATAAATGGTATTGAGAAATAAATGGATTTTATGGTGAAAAAAAAAGTTATTCTGTAATAGATAAATACTCATTATTATCATAAATAATCATATAATAGCCATAAATAATCATATAATTACATTATTACAGTTAGATAAAAAAATATTAGAGTAATAATTTTGAATTTTCGATTTGAAATATAATAACAAGAAAAGCCCCATATGAAGAACAAATGCAGAAGCAAAAATATCAAAACATAAAAAAATTTGAATACATGTTTTAAATCACAAATAATTTGGTTAATTGAAAATATTTGAAAGAGATTTTAATAAGGAAAATCAGAAGTAAAACTTATGATTATACTTCCTTTTGGTGATACAAGCTACATGTAACCATTCTTTACAGTTAAGGACACTGTATCCCACTCTCTTGAGATTTTGATTTACTTAGCTATAACACAACAATTAATTATAATAATAGAGTAAACTTTTTTAATTTGAACATAAATGATTAAAAACATCGCATAGTTTGAATAAACTTTAGGTAAGTTTTGCCCCTCCAAAAAAACTTTTTATTTACTTCAATGTTACAATTTTATTTTTAATTCAAATTTCTTGCTATTTTTCAGTTCATTTAGTCTGAAGCAGGAAAAAAATAAGATTTTTTTTTATTTTTCAAGAAGTAATAACTTAAGGGAGAGCCAAGTTTAAAGAATAAGTAGGTAGGTAACCCAAGAATAGTAAAAGAATAATAAAGTTTCATAAACCTTTATCACTTTAATAACCTTTAAGTCTCAGATAATAAATTTTAAGTCTCTTTCATAATCTTTTTACCACAGAGTACCTTCTAACACATCAACACTTTCCTCAAGTATCCCAACCCTTTAATTGCTTACATTTGCATATAGGTACAGTAATAAATACAAGCAATTTATTTTTATCACTTACGCAAAAATTTAACAAAAACCTTAAGCTACATTGTTCATAACGTTTTTGAATGTTCTCTTTTTACACTTTTACCTAAAGGCACTTGGTATTAGATAAAATGCAGATATTGAATTTAATGTACAAAAAAATCTCCTATTTAATAACTATCTACTTAAATAACTTATTCATTAATAATTCATTCTAAATAATAATTCAGTCGGACCTGTTTATCACAAATCTCTTCGGAAAGGCGAAAAATTTTAGATAAAGAGGTTTCAAGTTATACAGGTACTTTAAAAAAGTCAATTTAATTAAGAAATTCGATTATAAGTACTTTAATTGTTTTAGTAGAGAAATATAGGCATTTCTGTAAATTAATTATACCAATATATCTATTTACATAAAAAAAATTTTAAATGCCTTTAACACTAAAACTAATCTTTTTAAAGATTTTTGATGTCTTACCTTCTTTGTTTGTTATGTTGTTTGGGCATTTGTGTTCGATTACACTTCGAGATAGACGTGGAAAATACATTTGATTTTAAATAGTAAATTAAAGGAAATTTAGAAATTTTGAGATATAGAGGTTTTCGAGATAAAGAAGTTTGAGATAAACAGGCTTTACTATATATTGCAATAATTGTCTCAATGAGAGCCAAAATTTAAACATTTTGCACATTAAATTTTATTTTTGATGTTTTATATCTGTAAATTTATAGGTTTAGATTTCAGTATTAGAAATCCTTGCGACATTAATTATTGTTAATCCTATTCTTTATAAACTTCCTGCTTTATAATTATCCTATGCTTTATAACATTAAAATTATAAATCCTAGTACAGAACAGAACCTCTTATTTAGAAATTAGAAAACAGGAAAACCAGATAAAATTCAATAAATTTTCCTGCCATTTAAAAGTTTTTTTCATTGTAAGAATTTACAATTTTTTTTCCTTTTTTAAAAGATGTTTACTTAACCATCATTTCAGAAATAATCATTAGTTCCCTACACTATCAGGAAATGTAAGATTCAGCAGTTGTTCATGAGACAAAAACCAAATTTCTGTCAACTAAATATGGATGAGTTTTTTAAAGGTAAATGCTGATATATATTTTTTTTTTCATTTTATCTCTTTTGTTCATTTTATATTTGTATATATTTTTATTTCAATAAATGTTCTTTTCTTTTATCTCATTAAACTTATGTGTATTAATTTACAGTTTTTCATTTTTTTAAAAAACTATTCCTAAATATTTTTTTAAGGTGGGGTTTTTATAGACAATTAAAAACAGCATTTTGTAGCAATTCAGAAAACCAGAAAAATCAGTTATCTGGAATGGCGATGGTCCCAATCTTTCCAGATAATTAATTCTGTACTGTATTAATAACCATCATGAAAATTCTTGTTTTTCAACAGTCACTTAACAATTTTTTCTTTAAAACCTTTATGTGATTACCCATGATCATTTATATGTAGTTGGCCTTCATTGTCTTTTTGACAGTCTAATCTAAAAATCATTTTAAAGGAAAATAAACATTGTACAGAAATTTATTTTTGACAAAAACACTGAACTAAGAAAAATATTATTTTGAAAAACATTTATTAGTGACTCAGTTAGTGTAATCATCAATAACATTTAAGTTGATTGTTTGTCCATATATTTAAAGGATTTCTTGCATTTGAATATTTATATTCATAACCTTGTCAAAAGTTATTATAATAATAACTTTTTATGCAATAGTTTTGTCGATTTATGCTATCATGCATAATATTTCATTAAAATAAAATAATTGATTAACAAATTTACCTTCTAGGTTTTTACATGACACTTTAGGATTTCCAAACTCATCGGGATAAACTTCTTTGTACTGATCCCATCCTTTAAAATCTTGATCAGTTAGTCTTCTAAGATCTTGATCCTGGTTCCCAAATAATACTTGATCATTCTCAGAGCTGGAAAATTTATATAAATAATGATATATACTCTAGAACAAAAAGTAAATAAAATGTATAAATATCAAATGCTTTTCTCAGATGTACTCAAATAAAAAACATTGCTTTAAAAAACAAGTGTGACTTATGTTTTTTATGCATTATAAATCAGCTTATTTAGATACCAATTTAAAATTCAGTCTATTTGAACATAGCTTGAAAAGAGAATAAGTACATAATTAATGTATTCAGAAAGGGTAATTAAGAAACAAAGTAATTCACTTTTAACAGATTTAAATAGATTAATTATCACTAACCTAACCCATACAAAATTTTTAACTTTTAAAGTGCAGAGAATTATGACAACATAAAAAAGATGCATTTAAATTGCACTGTACAACTAAAAGTAATTTGACACTTAAAAAATATAGTGAAATTGAAAGCAAATATTATGTTTTATTTTAATCCTGGTTATAAGGAAAATAATTCTTCATTGCCACTTAATACACTGTATAATTTAAAAATTATATTTTTGCAAACTATTAAGCAAGTAGAAAACATTTTACGCTTTTCTATCCTAAACAGAATCAAAAGAAGGATTTTACAAGTACTACATCATTCATTTTTCAAATAAAATTTGTTTGTTTTTTTTTTGTATAATAAATTTACTTTATCTCTGTTAATTCATTTATTATAAAACATTGTTCTCTTATTTATATTTACAATTATCAATTTACAAGTTTAATAAAAAACAAAACAAACTTAGCAAGATGAGTTTTCTGTTTTGATAAGAACAACTTAGCTAAAAAGTGATGTTATAAATTTTAATCAATATAGTTTTGAATCCATGATGTCATACCCTCATCCCATAAGCACTGCCTCAGTTTTAAGACCCAGACTTTTGTAATATTCAGTTTGCGACCATCAAATTAAAATATTTACTATATATCTAACAGAAAACTCAATCCTAAGCACATCTTAAAATAGTGAATATAGATCTATCTCTCTGACTAATGCAATGATGTAATTCTGTGGTTAGGCATAACCTGCCAGTCTTGAGTCAATCCGGACCTATTGAGCAATCGAATTATATGAACTATGTTTATCTCTAACAATAAATATTGACTTTTTAATTAAATTTATATGAGAATCTAAAAAAAAAAAACCTTAAAGGGTGAAAATACTAAGATAAGAATATTATAAACACTTTTGAATTCAAAATCAAGGGGTAAGGGAAAAAGTTTGAATTATCCAAAAATTTAAAAATAACACTAATATCTAAAAAAATTATATTGCAGAATTAATTTAAATCAATATTTAACAAAAAATAAATTTAACATCTTTTTAAATTTTAATAATAACCTGTAACTCCTAAATTTATATAAAATTTCATTATAAATTGACAATTCCTAAACACACAATTTACATGCCTAAATTCAATTCCTGAACACACAATTTGCACAATCCTATGTGAATAACTTCTATATGGATTCACTTAAAATGTTTTGTGATAACTGTTTGTTTCAGTTGCACAAAATCTTTAATATCATCAATAGCATTAAAGTAATTTTTAACTTTTATCTGAGATTCTGCAAACCATCTTAAATTAATTATTAATCATTTTTAAGGCTTCAGAAAGGGAACATATTGGATTTTCATTGCATCAAATTTTAAATCAATAAAACAATTATGCAAGCATTCAAATCATAGATAATATTTTAACATTAGTATCAATAGAAAATTTTAAAGGAATTAGCATTTGTTTCGATTACCAAGTATTTCAAACTATTCATATTCGAATTTTAAAAATAAAAAAAAATTTTAAAAAAAGACTACTGTATAAACAGTATGAAAAAATCAAGAGCAAATCTGAAGTCTTATTTGTTGATGATGAAAATAAGTTTAAAATGGATAAGAGTTTCATAAATACATATAAATTTAATACAATTCAAATAAAGGTCATAAAATATTTTACATTGTATAAGTACCTGAATTGATCATTTTCACAGCTTTCAAGTCTTGGAATTTTTTCTGGAATTTCTTCTTTTGTTGATGTGTCTTCAACACTTTTGAAATCGCGTTTAACTGATGTTTTAGACATATCCTCATTTACATTTTCAAGAGCATTAAATGATTCAGAAGCTTGATCTATAGGCTCGCTTTTTTCCACAATTTTTTTGTTATGTTCATTTACTTTATTTTCATTAGTTTCTACAAATGAAATCTGTTTATCTGCTAGCATGGGACTTTCTTTTAAGTGGCAAATTTCTGAAGCTAATACAGTGTTTAATTTTTCAGGCTGAATAGTATTGAAAGTAACATCTATTTTTCTGGAAATAGGTTCATTAAATGTACTAGAATCTGATGTATTTAAATCAGTTTTATTATGAGTAGTTATATCAGTTATTGAAGCATTATCTTTAGGAATTGATTCACAAATACCTTCATTATCAATTAATGAATTTTGATTCAGGTTCAGATCTTTTAACTTGGAATCAGATTCATGTTTAGAATCAAAACACTGATTAACAGTTTCTATTTCTTGTTTGTTTGAACAAACATTATGAGAAGTATCATTATTAATTTTTTCATCAGATTTCATCAACTTTTTTCTAGTTTGTTCCCATTCACTAAAACCAAGTTTGGCATGTTTCCTCCGAAAATGTTTTTTAAAAAAAGCTCTATTAGATTTAAGATTCACACCTTCTTTCCTATTTTTAGTCTTACTTATATGTTTTAGAAAACTTGTGGTGTTTATCTCTTGTGTTTTGAATTCTTTTTCGTAACTGTGCATAGTTTGCTGAAATGAAAAGTCAGGAGTAAAACCTCCAGTCTCCATCACATGTTTCTGAAAAGGTTCATCTTCTACACTTATTTCTATATCTTTGCTCATAACCTTAAAAATATAAAAAGGAAATACTGTACAATATGTGTTCAGTTTATATAATAGATTAAAGAATTAATTTTTGTGTATCTTTTTTTAAAAGAAACAACAATGTTTAAAATAAAAATAGATTTTTTTCATTCTTTAAGCATTTAATAAACTTTATAAAAGTGAATGTGAATTTATACATAAATAAATGAATGTGAATTTATATATAAACAAATGAAGTTGAATTTATACATAAATAAATGAAAGTGAATTTATACTTAATATGAATTAATACATAAATAAGAGTTAAAAAAAATATTTATTTTTGAAACTGCTCCAAAAATATGTACACAAAAACCTAATAATTTTACTACACCAGATCTTACTGAATAATTGTGAAAATATTAGTTTCAAAATGAATAAATAATAAAAAAAGAATTTTCATAAATAGAAACAACATATAGCTTATTTCTTTAAAACAAAAAAATTAATGTATATATATTTTTTTCCACATAATGAGCTAAAAAACATACCTTAAAACCATCTTTAATTGCTCTAGAAGGAATTTTTTCAAATTTTGACTTAGTAGATGTTTCTGAATTCATATTAAATTGTAGTTTTTTACGTTTCTCAACTAACTGGTTCAACATATCTTTTTTAGAACACAATTTTCTCTCTTTTTCTAGTTCTATAACTTTGCTGGATATAGGAACTGTTTCCTAAATAATGGAAATATGGAAACTAAAGAGTCAAAATAATGTTTAATTAAAAATATGATTTCACATATGAAATTTACACATATGAGCAAACAGATATAAAATATTTAATAAGAGTATAAAATATAGTCAGCAAAAAACCATAAATCATTCTTATATTTTTTGAAAGGTTCAACTTTTATTCCAGAAAGTGCTTAAGTAACATCTTAAAGAAATCTTTTAAAGTATATATAACCCCCAAAATAAAGGGTAGACAAATATTTGAAAAGTTGCCATTAATAGTTCGACCCCTATAAATATCAAAGATTTGTTACTCTTATGCTATTTTCATGGGTCTCATTGCTCTTTATATCTTTTAAAGGATTTGTTACATTAAAATAATTATTTCATAAAGAATTATGCTTCGGCCCAAAGAGAACTATGTAATATAATAAGATACATACCTGCCAACTTTTACGCATTTGGCGTAAAATTTTATTTCGATATTTAAAGTGGTAGTAAAATGTATGCTTTCTATATATTCTTTGCATTTATAAACTTGATTTATATTCTTTTTGACCACCACTATTTTTTTAAAAATTAAGCATATATATTGATATAATACTATTTTTACATTCTGCAAAAACTTCCCAAAATAACAGCGTATGTTTTTGCATAAAATTGTAATTTAAATTCCATTTTACTACCACTGGGAAAAATCCTCGTCGAAAGGATTAAAAGTTGGCAGGTATGAAGATATTTAGATCAAATAAGTAATTTATATTAAAATGCTGAAAAAAGTTTGAATTTTAAGGAATAAAAATTTTTGTATATTCAGTATTTTGAGATTTTTCTTTTAAACCTAAACCATATGCCATTGGAATATTAAAAAGCTGCTTAAAAAATAACTTGAAAAATTAATAATTGAATGGTTATAAAATGGTGCTCCATTTTGAGATTATATGATCAAATTGCATTACTTCAAATTCTATGTAATTTATATTATCCTGTAAGTGAATAAATTAATCCGTTCTTAATCATTTTTTTTTTTGAGAAATAAAGAAACGCCCACATTTTATAAAGAAACGCCCACATTTTATTGGGATATGATCAAATTGCATTACTTCAAATTCTATGTCATTTATATTATCCTGCAAGTGAATGAATTAATCCGTTCTTAATCAATTTTTTTTTTTTGAGAAATAAAGAAACGCCCACATTTTAAAGAATTTCTGGTGGGTAGTCATCGATACTTAATTTGACATTTTCTTTTCTTTAAATTATGTTTTAGTTTTAAAATGTACTTTAAACCATCTTCATTACTATTCAATAACAGATTTTAGATGCTACAGACTTTTAACTTTTAGAGAATTCCATTTTCTTAAGCTAGAAATTCTTGTTTTTTTTAAAAATAAAAATAAAAAAAAGTAAAATGACTGCTATTGCCTAAATTTAAAAGGAAAAGATTTAAAAAAAAAAAAACTCTTAGGTTAGAAAGTACATGGTTAAAAAGGGGTGCTCATAATGTTGTTTCACCTTCAGCCTTAGGAAATTTGTTAATTTTAGGAGTCTTAATCATTATTGATATAGGCTACAAATAAATCAGCTCATTTTTTTCTTTTTAAAATTGATTATTAAAGAGACAAATATAGCAAATAAGTTTAATTTTATTTTAAAAATCGTATTAGCATTATTTTAAAATTTAGTTTTTCACTTTCTGTAGAATGAGTACAATTGTTTTAATTTTTATTCACACTTAAAGTAAATAAATATATTGAGAAATATTCTATTTTAATTTTTTTATATAACATTTTTAAACCAAATTGTATAAAAATTTGCGCACCATAATAAAAAAAAATTTTAAAAATTGCCCAAATTTATTTGGATGCATCTAGAATTTATTATTTTTTGATAAAAATACAATTATGAATTCCATACGTACCAATTTTAAATTAAAGCAATTTAAGAAACTTATAGTCATTTGAAAAAACATTAATGTGTCACTGATCATGTTTTGTATTAATAATGCTCTAAATATAGAATTCACATATTTCAAGAGGGTTTTAAGGGAAGATATTAATTTAGTAGATAGAAATTTAAAATAATAATACTAAAATGAATGAACTGATGATAAATGTAGGAAAAGTATCCTTAAAAACAAAACACACATTAATAAACTATTTGGGGGGAAAAAATTCGTAAGAAAAGGAGAAATAGCCATCTACATTACTTTTTTATTAAAATTTTGTACTATACAGTCTTTCAGACCTTAACGTCCAAATTTTAAAACTGAGATTGAAAAATCTGGAAATGGCACTTTCTGTATGTAATAAAATGTCATTAAAACGAGAATTTACACCTTGCAACAAAATAGAAAATGCTGTTATAAAAGAAATAAAAGCGTATTCTTATGCATATTATGTTAGCCACCACAAAATTATTGAAAATTTATAACTTAATGATTATAGATCCTTTATGTAGGCTTTAAATTAATCTAATATGGTGATCACCACACATTGGTGGTGATCACCATATTAGATTAATTTAGTTGCTAAATCTATAGATTTGATTATTTAATTTTAAATTTATTTATTACAATACTATCCACTTTTTAAGTTTTTAAGGACCGTACAAACCCTGTTTATTTATTTATTTATTTGAATATATCTAATCTTAATTGAATTTAAGAGAAACTGTGTTAAGTTTAATTTTAATCTTTAAAAGCATATATCAAGTCAAAAAAATGTTTTTAGCTAAGTAAACATATTAATTCCAGGAATAATATACTTGATATGGTAAGATAACTTCATTTTTTGAAACCATATAGCCAGAAGAAGAGAAAAGAAAAATATTTTTTTCGTTTTTATTTGAAAAAAGAAAATCTTACTACCACTTTCAATTTATTTTTTTAATTTAGGGTAAAATTTATTTCAATGTGCCAATAAGTTTCTATAATGATTAACTTAAAAAGTCTTGCTACCACTTTTTATTTATTTCATTAATCTGGGACATGATATACTTATCCGCACAGATTGAAAAAGCTTATGCAAAGAATAATTTTGTAAATTTTGCTAATACTCTTTTTTTTTTTAATTAAGAGGTACATTTACTTCACTCTAGGAAACTGTAAGGTAATGCAATGAGTTACTGAAAGGGTGTATGATTTTCACATTATGCTTTATGCATATCTGTTTCTACTAATACCAAAAAATAGCAACATTTTATTTTCCATGCTAAAAGTTCCCTTGTCTTTGTTGATCCTCTAATGATCAGAATTTTATGAAATTTGGTTTTGAAGGTTATTTTTGCACGTTAAATAAGAATGCAATAAAAAATTTATGCTTTTCTTAAGCACATTTTGTGTCAAAATAAGCAGATTACAGTTACAGTTAAATTATATTAATAATTTAAGAAATTTCTGAGGGATATTGCCATAACACTTTACAGAACGAAAAAACAAATTTGCTTTAATCACAGTCTTATTTTCCACTTTCCAAACTGAGTGTATGCTCTCCCATAGTTGTTACTAACTGATACCATTGTATATTGTTTCATAGCCAAAAATCAAAAATTGATAAAATAATATTTTTCCCTACTCAGAAAACATATTTATTAAATACGGAGATGATTTGAAACATATTGATTAAAAAACGTTTTCCTGTATTCCAATTCGTTTTTAAAAAAATTAATTGAAATACCTTGGAGATGAATTTCTCACAATGAATTTTTTTTAACATATGCAAGAACTATTTATATTGAAATGCATTGGTTACTAATTGTTACTTCCAATTCCTTAACAATTACACAATCTCCTTAACCTCCAAAAATGTTTTTAGATAACAAAAATAACTCAATTTTAAACATACAAGATGATTCAATTGACATTTTAGTATATTTGAGTAAATGAGATTAAAAGTAACAACAGGCAACGAAGACTTTTGAAGACTTTCATGACTTTATTTCTTGTTTCTAAATTTTGAGTTAGAAAGATTTATAAATTCCTTACACTTAATTAAACTGTTTGCTTCAAGCATTTGCATTCTTAGTTTTTAGTTGTTTTTCTATTATTCCATGACTGTATATTACTAAATGCATTTAGAACACACACAAGAATCAACACTCAGACACACTCTTTTGGATCTATCATCCAATGAGATCTTAAGAATTAAAATTTAGCAGAATAAATCAAGGTTGTATAGTTAACTAAGACTATAATAAGAACTTTTCCCAATAAAACTAAATATTTTTCAAATATGTCACTTAATCCCTTCATCTACTGAGCTTTCAAAATGTTTGTAATAATAAAATGGCACATTAAGATAACACACATTTCAGATTAAGAAAAAAATTATTATCAAATTAATGAGTTTTCTTTAAATTTATTCCAAGAAGTTCAAATATATATTTTGATATGAAGTAATGAAATATTCAATCTTGACTGGGCAACATTGACTGAACTCTGATTATTAAAACATCAACAGTTTGAATCAACACTCATCAACAGTTTGAAATTGTACTACAGTAGGGAACCGATTATCCGGAACGATCGGGACCATCGCTATTCCGGATAACTGATTTTTCCGGTTTTCTGAATCGCTACAAAAAGCCGTTTTTTTAATTGTTAAACCCAACTAAAAAAAATTTTTTTTGGAAATAATCTTGAAAAAACGAAGTAATACACTAATGATTATTTCCAAAATGATGGTAAGGTAAACATCTTCCAAAAAAGAAAGAAAAATCCTGAAATCTTATGAGGAAAAAAAAACATTTAAAAAAAAAATGGCGGGAAAATTTATCAAATTTCGTTCCGGTTTTTTGGTTTTCCGGTTTACTGATTTCCGGATAACGGGTTCTGTACTGTACTAACAAATAATAGATTTTTTTAAACATTCATGTCAAAACTTTTTGAGGGTGATTCAAAAACTTTGCCAATATCATAAAATCAGAGAAGCAGCCTAAATGGAGATCTCATTATATTAAAATATCCAATTTTTTGAACATAGTATAGATTTAGGGGATGAAGTGACTCACTTCTGAAGTAGGTCTGATTTGTTCATATATAAATTTCAATCACAATTTATATACTACAGTAAATTCCACTATATTTCTTCACCTTTTTTTAAATAGCTCCATTCATATTGTTAACTTTCAGAGGCAATTATGTTTTTCTTACTACAAAAAACTACCGACTCCATCTGCACATAGCATATACTTACCAAACTATTTAATATCAGTTTAATATTTTCTTATTTAAAATACAAGTTTTGAGTAGTTATTTGTTCACAAGAAAAAAAATTTTTCCTCCTTGAGAAAAAAACAATTTATTATGAAAAACAAACTGAATTTAGAGGGAATAAATTTTTCTGAAGCCAATTTACTTAATTTTTTTAGCAGCCACAGAATGTCACTAGTATAGTTTGTGAAACAAATTACTTTTGCTATTTTCAAAGCTAAGCATTTTTTCAGTTCAATTTACCAAAATTAATAGTACAAGCAATAACAAAATTAATTATTACAGATGTTATTAACATAGATGTTAACAGACATTATTGTTAACAGTTATAATGAGAAACAAGCATAACTGTTAACAATTAAGACTAGGATAAAATATTTTTCTATTAGTATTGAGGAATAAATCTTTATTTGATTCATGACAAAGCAACATTATTTTGTAAATATGAAATAAAATAATACTATAGTACAGAGCTTTCTGAATGTAAACAGACACCTTCATTTAAAATCAAATTTTGAAATTTTACTTTAACTGGTTTCAAAGATTAATAAAGTTTTCATAAGGTCTGCTACTGAAATATAATTCAATATAAATACATATAAGAAGCAAATCTTTAATAGATATTTATTTTTTAATAGATATTTATTTTTTAATTGATATTTATTTTTCAGTATAAAAGAAAACAAGCAGTCAGCAAATAGTACTGTTGCATACTTCACATGTTAACTCAAACTATTTATAATGAGAAAATATTGCTTATCCGTAACTTTCATGTGTTGTCCATTTTTGCAAGGTTTGAAAACTAATTTTAATCTTGCAATGCTTGACATTTAAAAAATGTATACTGTTTGTTTTAATAAACTTTTATTAATGATAAAATAATAACTTTATACCTAAATCAATACCTAATCCTTAGAAATTCATACCTTTTGAGTACCAATATTAACACCTTGAAGATTAAAATGACTATGCATTGCAAGAACAGGCCAGGCTGGATCCAATTTTCTAATTATTAGATCTAAATTATAAAGCAATTTCTCTGCTAATATTCCGGACCATGTTTGACGCAGTTTAAAAAGAAGACTTCTAGTGTTCTCATCAACCTAGTTTAAGTAAAAGAGAAATTTATTTCATACAAAGAATATTATACATATATACCTATATATCAAAAATATAGTCCAAGATGAGGTCCATGATGTCCTGACTCTCATTGAGATTTAAGTCAATTTGATAAAAAAAAATTTTTATAAATAAACTTACTTTAATTTTCAAAAATATTACCATACTTCTATCAAATGAGTAATATATTATTATGAGTATAGGTTACAATAGATTTATTGCCTTGAATTAATTTACTAAATAAATCAATTTGATGTAAGAAACATAACATAATCTGAATATTACAAGTATAGGGTCAGTTGAAGTTAATATTTTTATAATTTACGGGGATTTTATAATTCTTTAAAAATGTTGAAAAAATAATCTTCTAAGTTACATACATAGAAGAAGGTAAAGCTCTTAAAGGGGTGGATAATTCTGACCACATGTAGGAGAATTATAAACATGAGCTAATGCACATCCCAGAAATAGTGTTGACTCATTATCAGTCCCTCCAAAAACCCTAACCAGTACTTTGCTCTTCCAACTTAATCCATATACCTGAGAGGTATCATAATAGAATCCTTACTCATTCTGCATTGATGAAAAAGTAGTTTTATCTGATGATGTAAATTTTTTTTTATTATAACTGCTTCTTTTTATAATTTTTTTTACAAAAATCTTAGCAATTTCTGGAATTTTGTAAGAGTGGCACAATGACTGAAGATGCTTCCCTTTCTTCAAGGATAAGCGAAGATATCTTTTTATAAAGTATATAGACCAGTCTTTTAGTTTACCAGCTTTAAAAACATTAGAAATAGAATTTCCTTTAATGTAAGATCAAATAAGATGCAAAAATGCCTGTTGCAAGTGTGTGTTTCTACAAGTTCCTGACGAGTTTTTTTACGAGTTTCTTTTACTCTTTCAAGTTTCTGATCACATTGGCTTGCTTCTTATCTTTTCTAAACTAACTTTTTTTTTCTAATTTGCAGCAGGATTACTGTTATTAATATGCCCTATTTTCTTTCAGCTTTTGGCAGACTCTGTTACCATTGCAACAGGTTCCGGCAGGTTCTTCAGAGAGTTAAGAAGAAATTTCTTTTTTGCATGTTCTAGCCATTTTTATGCAACAGAAAATGAAGAGTCATGTATTAAGTTAACATTGAATATGATCATAATTATACCGTTGTGTTAAAAAAAGGGAAATTATGACTATATACTTTTGTAATATATTTTCATGCAGACAGAACATATAATCAAACATAATAATAAATTAAACATAAGCTTAGTATAAACAACTTTGCACTTACTGCAAAATTTTCTTAAAGGGTTGAAATCACTTTGAATCAACATCTAAACTGTTTTTCAAAGATTTGCATAGATTTTTAGGATTATATGAATAGTGACTCAAAATTTTCATCCAAGGTCAAAATATACATAAGGTGCATAAAAGTCAAAATATACATATGAAGCTTGTTAAAACATAATTTGTTTTTTAATTCTTACCCTGGATGAGTTTTTTAAATAGGCTATGACTTTAATTTCCCCATGCTCATTTTTACCCCTACATAATAATTTGATTAATTAATAATTTGTTAAACATTTTCCTACCTCCAAAGGATGTAATAATTTTAAGTGTTTTTATTCCCCATGAAATATTCAGATGTCATGATTTATTTAACAATAAAATGTGAATAAAATTAATGAATATAAATTATAAAGAGAATTATGAAACAATTAGAATTTTAGTTAAAACAAAATAAAATGTAATAAAATAAGAGTGCTTTTATACCAAAGTAAAAATTTGAATTAGAAATAGCGAACTTAAATAATGTACAGAAGTAAACTCAGAAGATTGAACTTCTCAGTGGTGTGAGTGACTCAGTGAGTGTTCTAGAGAAAGTCGTAAGGTAGAATAACTGAAAAAGAAACGCCAATAAGAGCCTCCTCCTTATTATATATCTCTAATAATAGTTTAATAACATAAAATAGAATTCACATTATCAGGTCCTTTATCATAAGACACTTTGATTTTTCTAACACCCCTTCTAATATGCAAAAGCGTATTGACACACTTGTGATGACAAGTACTAAATTTGGATGCTAGAAAATGACACAATTGCAGAGAAAAAAAGTATATGAACTATTCTTTTTGTGAAAAGTTATTTTTGACACAAGTATGAAAAACTTTGATCAACAGTGGTTGAGTGATTACTAATTTTTTACTTTCAGTTTTAGGAAACAAGGACCTCAAGGATCCGCATCTTATGATAAAGGGGTAAAAGGCCACTCTGGCCTCAAGCACCCCGAGAGGATTAGGTTGAGTGACAGCACTAGGCACTTCAGTCCAACCCATCTGGGGTTCTATCCTAGGACCAGGCAAAGGTTGACTAAGCTTTTCATCCTACAGTGAGTTAATAAAATGAGTACCAAGTATGCTTGTGAACTTGACATTGGGGGTTCCACATTAGGCTGACCACTCAACCAATACAACCCAGAGCTCATAGTTAAGAAAACTGGGATAGGCAGAGTAGACCTTGGCCCTCTTTGGGCCGTCATGCCACTGAGTTTAATTTAATTTATATAAAACACTTTATAATGGCCACAACTTGTTTTGAATAATTTCACTCATAGTTTAATGTAAAAATATTTACTTAAAAATGCAACTCTTATTGAACAATTACTTGCTCTTGAATGCACTCTAATTAAACAATGCAACTCTTATTAAATATTATTGAAAAATTTTGATTTTCCAACATATCCTAGCAAAATGTTTGTTTTTGTGAAACTGAAGTTATAAACCTTCATAATTCAAGTTTTGAATTTTGAGAAAGAAATTTAAAAAAGTTAAGTTGATCTAAGTGAAACTAAAAAGAGTTTTAAAACAAATATTTTTCTGGTATTGCTCCATCTTAGTTGTGCCGGCAAATTTATAGAATCACAATTTATAAAATTTTTAAGCCCTAAAAATATAGTTCAAATGAATCCTGCAATTTTTTTAATAATATTTTATTTAGTTAATCAATTAGATTTTTTAAAAAAAATCAATGTTTTTTTCCTAATAAATCTGCAATTTTATCAGAACTTTTTTAAATAACTTGATAAAAATGATTTTCGTCATATTAAGATATGCACTTATGTTTTAAATCGTAAATATTAGTAATTTTTATAGATCATTATACCAGACAACATTATTACAACATTTATTCTATTCTTGTATGTTTTAGTTATTAGCTTTTACACTAGAACCTCACAATTATTTGTTTTGGGGAAATTTGATTTATTCAATTACTGAAAATAATACGAAGAATTTAAAACAAAAAAATATATTTTTCAAACAAAATGTACTTTTACTTTAGACAAAAAAAGGTTGGTTTGAATTAAATTAGTTACTTATTGAGTGTTAGTTTTGAATAAGTTTTCAAATAATTCTCTTAATTATGATCTTGGGATAAAATGAAATGTTTATTCTGTTTTTCAATGTCATAAATTAGAGCTGTGACATAACCAGGATCCTTTTTTGATAAGAGATGTTTTTGTTTTGATTCTTTGTTTTCCAGAAATATAAGAAGTATTTCTTATTCAGCTGTAAAACTTCAAATGCATATAAAACCATATTTAGTAAAAGAAAAAAAAATGGAAGTTCTCAGTCTTTTAAAGTCAAAATTGAACAAAATATTTTCGTGGCTATGTGACAGTTGTTTGTATTTTTGTGGCTGTTCATACATAGTACCATTATCACTTTAAGTGACATTTAAGAAATTTGACATTTGATATTGTTTAATATCTATGGAGGACATAAAAGTTTCTCTTTTGATAATGGATACCAGTTCATGTAATTTTCTTAGTGGAAATGCCTAAAAAATATTGTCATTTTTAAAAGAAAGTGCTCTGTAAGTTTAATAATATAAATGGTGAAAACAGATCAAATCTATAATAGCAAACAACTTGATTTAATTCAAATCAAAACAAATTTAGGAACAGTTTATTGAATAAAATAAGGAAAGTTTTTCATTAAACAAAAATGAATTTGCTGATAAGATACTAAACCATTTACATCATTAGAAGAAGGTTATTTTAGGGAATTCAAGAATCCAAAGTTAAACTTAAAAAGTGAGAGCTAATATTGACACTATAGATATATATATAGAGAGATACTCATTTTCATTTAATAAAAAATAACTAACATACTAGTAAAATCCATTTTTTAAGTAAGAATTAGTTATATAAAACATTATTACACAGAATAAAGTTTTGAAAGTAAATACAGTAGAACCTGTCAAAGTGTCAATCTTGGTATATTGATCACTTTAAAGTAACTATTTCCCAAAATTTTATTTACATCCCATAAAAAGTACATTAGAATTTATATGTTTTAGTGACCACATGCTTTATGTATAAATTGACCAGTTTTTAATGATATTGGCTCCCGTCCAAGTGACATTTTTCCTCATTTCTACCTCTCCTTGACCTTCCTCTTCCATCTAATAGTTCTGCGGTATAGGCATGTAAGAGGCATATTTATCTTTTTCTTTTAAAAAGGGTTCCTTTATCATATGTTCTCAGAAATTCTAGGAATAAATTTGTATATGTTAATTCATTATACTGTTTGTAAGAAGATTGCTTTTGGATTACTTAAAATCCTATAAATCAATTGCTTTTTGAAGGTGAATCAGTAAAGGCTGAATTATTCATGATTTTGGTCAGTGATATCCCAACATACAACAGTTTTGTTGAATTTTGAAGCGAGAATTTTATTATATGATTAAAACTTAAAAAGAAGTTGAAGATGATTGTGTTAATGAAGCTGGATTTTTTAAGGAAACAAAATTGTTGAAAAGAAGTGTTGGAATCATTTTGCTGTAAGTGAAGCTTTATAAAAGCTTGCAAATTTTATATGAATAGCTTATTACTATCAGTTATAGAACCGGTATGATTATGTAATAAAAGTGGTCAAAATAAACATGTCACAAGTAGCAAAGTTATTGTAGTCGCTACTTGTTTT